TATATATATATATTTGAGTGCAAAGTGTTATTTTCTTATATGCATTACTAGATCTAAGCAAAGTTGCAGGTGTAAAGTTTTAATGCGCTTGGCAACGGAACCGGCTGCTTTAAATTCTTCTTTTTTGTTGAAATCGGATTTCTCACCTGAAGAGTTTGCAAATATAAAAGTGATTTCTGCGAATCTGCAGCGCCAGAGTTGACTATAGTAACCATTCATGAAAAAGTGCTGGCACGGATGTAACCGGAGCTCGCTTGAATGGAGCTGCTAATACGGTGTTCTGCAAGAACAGGCTCGTTAGAGACACAGGACAATGCTTGGGTGTTTAGGAAGGCGGGGTTCACTGGAGAATATTGAAGCCTTCTTTAATACTGTAAGCTTCCTACTAACTTCTGAATTTGTGTGTGAAAATTACTGGGGCTGTACTTCGCTTATGGGCCGCAATTTCTTACGGTTTTTCAGCGCGGAATAGTAACGGCTAGTTTTTATATACCGAGAGTTTTTTTGGATTGGAAAAACTAATCAATGAGGAAATCCAATTCTAAACTTTAGTGATCTTTAGAAATACCAGCGCTGTATGGACAGTCGATTTTCTCCATCTTAAAAACAGTATATCGAGGCGGTTGGTAAACTGGAGATGCGTTTTAATATTAGATTTAACATTAGGTTTAGTGAGGGAAGAAAGAAGCTTTTTTGAAAAATAAACTGAAAATGTTTTGAAGGTGGAGAGTCTTTATTGCATCTTCAACAACCACTGGCTATGGTTTACTATAGGATAAGGGGATGTTGCTAACGTGAGTACCAATTATTGTTTACTGCACCAAAATGCTTGTGAAGTTAATTCCTGGCTTTTGCTTGCTGATCTTCTATGGTTAGATTTTGTAAACTGTCTAATCGCTGCTTTGTTGTTTATAGTCTGCAGTTCTTATATTTTACTTAAGTTTACCATTGAACTGCATTTGTCTTCAAGGTTACTTTCTTTGAGGTCTGTACTCTAAAAAAAAAGTTTTTATAAACTGCGGTCGTTAAGACTGCGACAACTAATGGTGAAGCATTAAGGAAGATGTATCATTCCACAAATAAATTATATGCCAAATTTATTGAATGATTGAAAACTTAAACTTTATAAGAGTACAGAACTTCTCAAAAAGTACTTTCAATAAACTTTACTACTTGGTGAGGCTCATTTGGAAGCAGGTCGTACTTTTTCTCAAACTACTGCAGAAAAAGCAACAAAAGATACACCTAATAATAAACTTTTAAGAAGTTTAAATTACAATTTGATTACAAAAATTAGAAATTTATGCAGAAAGCAGTTGCACAGATAAATTAGTTCTCTTGTATTGCTCTAAAATTGGTTATCTGACTACTCTGAAGCATTTGGATGCAAAGCTTCTAAGACTGAGAAGGTTTTGTTTATTTTTTTAAAGTTTTTAGAGTTTTTGATCCTTTATTTGTTTAAAAAGTTTCCTATTTGGAAATTATTTGCTTGTCTTATAACACTGTATACTTGTTGTTGTTAAAACTGTTATTCTGTTATGCGAAGTATAAAGCAGATCTATGCTTGAGCAGATGCATTCCAGTGAACATGTTAAAAATAACGATACGAGAGCATCGTTGCTTGACATTGAGGGAAATTCGTTTTTTCAATAATATTATCCTTCAATGATTGTAAAAGTCGGAAGAAATTTCTTAACAATTATTAATCAATTATTAGTCAAAACATTAACTACTTGTTTTAAAAAAGTTACCATTAAGTTTAATTAGGTGGAATTGCTTTTTTTCCTGTACGATTAAACAGTATTGGTAAATGATTGAGTAAAAAATTCTTAAAGTAACCGTATGCATTAAAAAAAGGAGCAGCGAGTTGCGTCAAAGAACTGTATTATTTTATCTTACCCATTGGTTGTCAGTGAGCAATCTTCGGGAAGTGGTAAATCAGCGAGGGTTATTCAATAAATTTGTACTGTATAAATTTTCTTAATTTTAGTGCACTGTTTTACTGTTATTTTTTTTTCTTTTTTTTGAAGGTGCATTGCATTTTTTAAACAGTAATGTTCTAAGTTTGTTGACAAATACCAAACAAATAAGTTCTCTATTTCTTTTGCTCTAAAATTTACTGTTATTTACGGCGAATGAGATAAGAAAAATTGTTCAAGACTAATCCGTCGCAATTGAACAACCCTTTATAGCCTAACAGACAGAAAACTTGTTTTTTTTTTTTTCAATCAGAAACTTCACACCTATTTTTAACTTAGAATTTATTAGGGGACATTGGTTTAGCGAGGTTCCATTAAATACTTTTGTTTATTGATATAACCACTATCGTTGCTGCCCATCATTTCTATCAATGGAGTTTACTTAAAGCGGTTTTTCAAATTGCTGTTACTGTCGTCATCGTTTACATTCTTTTGCATTTACGTAGTATCAAATTTTTGCTATTACAGCGCCCAAAAACTATTGCTATGAATCTCATGACATCGCACTACGTCAAAAAGCAAAAATTTTTTTTTTCTTTTGAACTAAACTATAATTTCTAATACTGAATAATTGTATTTCTTGCCTAATTAGAAAAAGAAAAGTTTTTACAAGTGTTACTGTTTAACAGTCATTTACTTATGATCGTTGATACATTCTCTTTTCTAGTACACCTCTTACAGCAGTAAAAGTAGCAGGAAAAATTAAAAGCAACCAATCCTACCTCAACTGTTATAACAGGTTGTGAATATAAGGCAAAATTGGGCCCAAATTATTTGAACCGTTTTGAGTAGTCATGACTAAAATAATTTTGGCATCACATTACTACAATAATACTGAAACAATAAAATTGAACAACTCTGTGTCTGTTGAATGTACAGTCGCTGAAGCAAAAAAAAAATCAAATATATATTTTTGTTTTTTACTTTGATCTCAATGTTTAGTCTTGAACATTAGCGTAAGAGAAAATAATCTAAGATATTCATAGCAAAAGGGTTTTTGTTTTTCATAATTACGATTGGTCTTACTGTGCTAATAACTGTGTAGATTTGTTTTTGACATTAATAAAATTTTGGCAACTGTTTTCGGTTTTGAAACTGTTGGCCCCAATAAGTCTTAGTAGTGTTAAAGCATCTAGTGTACAAAAAATTTGAAAAATAAAATTTCTATTTTTTTTTTAGTAACTATTGCACGTTGATGATGAGAAAGCATCTATTACTTTTTTCCACTACTTGTTTATCGGCGCATGATAATAAAGGGAACCGTTTCTATAAATGCTTAGTGACTGCAAAACTTTTATTATTACTGCTTCCAGATGGACTTTAAACTGCTACTGTTGATCATACAAATTTCATTTATTGAATCGTACCTCTGCGGGTGTGGTTCTTGTCGAGGAGTCAATGGTAAAGCCTGTGCCAGATGCTGTACAGGATACGTCAAAAGAAGTCATGTCAATCTGCCTTGGAAAATTTGGGAAAGTCCACAATTAAATGACCGTATAGCTTCCTCCACGGAATATGACGGTTATTGGGAACCTGCATACGCCGTAAGTTATCGACCTGTTATGTAATTAAAAACGTACTGATTATTAGATCAATCAAAAACTACTGTTGATGTCTATCTAAACTTAGGATCCAAACTTCAAAAGCGAAAAAACCGTACAGCAATTGCCTCGATACTATCGCAACTGGTGGAGTTACTCTACATTACGAGAAAAAAGAATCCAAAAATCGCTGATCGAAATTCTCGGCCTTCGTCGAACGTATGATGACTACTAGTCAATTATTTTGGCAGTTTATCGAATGTACAAAAGCCATTTCTATTATTGAGTATTACACCTGCAATTACTGGCTGTAATCTGAATAATTTACGGGCTCACATTTCTATAAAGTTTAAACTATTTCAAAAACCGAATTTTGACCTGCCGATTTTTAAAAACCAAAGGAAAGAATGAAAATTACTGAAGTGCCTATTTGTGGCAACGGGAAAAAGGAAATGAAGGAAAATGGACACTGCCTTCTTTTTTTTTTAAATGATTATTTGCTGAACTAAAGTGATTTGATGGAGCGCTAAGGCAAATGTGATTAATCCAACAGACCAAATTCATCAATTTCTCAAGAGAGAAGAATATGTCCGGTAACAAGTCTTTTTGCTAGAGGTTGGAGGACTGGTTGTTTTACGAAGGTTTTAGAGAACTGAAGCAAAACGTTGTGGTTTTAGTAGGGTTTCTGAAGAAATAACATATTTTTGAGACAACTATGCTGTAAACCAAACAGCGTCTATCGTTACCTGTAAAAATTATCCAATTAAATATGCGTGCAGGACAAGGGGGAATATTATGATGAGTCCGTTTTTTAGTTGTTTAATGGCATGCTTAAGAGTTTAAGAAGGAAAAAAAGACAAGCCGGGAATAAGATCTCAACTTTTTTTTTTTTATTTTCTTCTACCATTCATATTAATCTGTATTTTTTTATTTTTCTCGCTTGTATGTATATGTAGAAGAAAAGTTTCTTTAAACAGCTTTATTTATTATCTGATGCTCAAATAAATAGCTGTTATTGTTATTATTGTTATTACGTATATTATAATTATAATTATAATCATAACTACAATTATAACTGTTATTGTAATTATCATTATTTTTATTGTTATCACTTTCATTATTAAGAAACACAAGAGTATTTTTATGACGTATAATCAGTGTTATCTGATTGCTGTTACCGTTTATACAAATAAGGAAAAAAAGCGGCTAGAAAAAAGCACATAACTAAGAGGGAAATCAACACTAAACCTGCAGAAAATATTTAGCTAATTTTTAATGAGATTTATAACGGCATAGCATAAGCGAAAAGGTTTGAATGCAAAGTAAAAATTGCTGCTTTCTTTTCTCCCCACCTCTTCAACTACCTCAGATGTTAATCAAGCAGTTTGCCTGTAACGGCACTAAAATTAATATTAATTTTACTACATAACAGTAGTTGTCTTGAGAAGTTGGAAAAAAAAACAAATGTTAAACAGTAAGTGACTGATAAGATAAATGTTCATAGTTTTTGCCCAAAGAGTTCTGTCGCTTGTTATAATCAGAAGATTATTTACTCTAAAACCAACTCTGTTTAACGGCTCAAAGCATATAAAAGTTAAAAATATAGAAATCTCGTTATTTATGTTTATCGAAGATAACTTAAACCAATGTTACTAATATGATGCACATCTGAGCCTACAAATTGAATCAGTCAATAATGTCAAAAAAGGTGTTTTATTTTTTTGGCAGCACCTTCCGGACAAGTTTCATTTCAGTTGATGTTTTCGAAGTTGGTGAGAACCCAGCTCTGCAACAGAATTTTTCATATTTTAACAGTATCATTCGGTTTCACGAGGTTAAACCCGTCATTGAAAGGCTTAGCTTCAGAGTTGCTGCTCGGCATGATAATGCTGAGTTGTTCTGAACAAACTTCCAAGTCATTAACCACTCCGTAATGTAAGTATTAAGTAACTGCCTTTGTGCGAATTCACCACTCCAAGGTCTGAGTCCAATATGCTTTCATAAGCCACTGTCAAAAAACTGTTCAGAAAAAGGTGCATTTGAAAAAACTCAATCGGGTATGCTGAAAAAAAAAAGGCAAATTCTTGAAAATTTTAAATTTTATTTATTTGCTGCTAAAAGACAAGATGCAGTGACGCCTACGGACTTGCAGTTTTTATGAATAAAAGTGAAAAACGTCGAACCACTTGACCAAGCTCACAAATTCACACATTCCCGGAAGAGGAGATAAACGCCGTTTTTCAGCGCCAAACCATACATTTTTGACTCAAGCTAGACATATACTATCGTGCCAACTGTGCTCACTAATTCTACTTTTCATTCATACCTCTCATTCTGTCCTTTGAAACTGAGCATTTACGCTCGACCTCTGTTAAATAGTCACAGACAAATAATTCGTTCAAAAATAAGACAAAGAATGACTTGAATTTTAAATTTTGCTCATATGAGCTCAAAACATCCATAAACTCACTATTCTAAACTAATTTGTTGAGGAAAGATCTAGTGTAACACTTATTACAATCTCTACTAGTGACACTGCAAGTGACTAAAAAGGTCTATTTTTAAAATGTGCACCTGAAGAATTTGAAAAGCATGCAACCCCAATCTGAAAGAGTCACTTTTTCTGCGATACAAATGTGCTGCTACCTGGACTTTAAGTCGGTTTGTACTTCACAAAGTTTCCCCACATTATTCAAGCCGAATTTCCACTTGCCATTTTGAATAGCACCATCAAAAGCTTGCTCCTCCAAATCAGTACAGTTGAATTGAGACGCACATGCTGAACAAAGCATACGTGTACGAAACAACTGTAATAGTTAATCAAAGACCCATGGCAGCAATCACTGCTGTACAAACCAGTTTCAAAGAGTTGCACACCACCAGCTTTTTTTCAATGCGTCTTGTCTGCTGCATGGATCTGGTGCTAAAAACCTCTCACATTTTTTACTTTCGTTAAGCTGTGGATAAAAGGAAAACAGGAAAAAGGGCGTTTCATTTGTTTACTTGCTGGGAACCTCTGCTACAATTCGTTGACGCTTTCGTTTTTCTATTCTTTAATTCGGAGATCCTTCATTTCCTTGTACTCATCTGCTTCAGCGGTGGCTTTGATGTTCGTCAAGCAGGTCTTTGCAAGATTCATTATTTCTGTTCTATCATTGATGGTCATTTTTCCGTGTTGGAAGTCAGTGCGTGTATATGCCAAGTAACGTGTTGAAGTGTAGTCTAGATCCGCTAAAATAATATTCTTGGTGAGATGTGAAAATGGTGAGTGACCTACAAAAGCAAAGTTACTGAGGCTAGCTTAGAGTACTGAGAGAAACAAAGAGAAATTTTTTGAATAATCTTTACTTTGGTACCAGTGTCATTAAGAAAATAAAACTATAGAGCAGTGTTCTAAACAAGCTATAAGATCAAACAGTAAAGTTAAACATAATTATTACGACCTGAGATTTTGACCAAAGCTGGCTTGTAAATCTTTTCACTATTATGGTACCATTCGTTTTTGTCGTGTATCTTCAAAGCCGCATCAAAGCAGTTACAGTCTCCAGTAGAATAAATAAAGTAAGCTAAGGTAGGTCCAGAAAGCATTTGCTGCTAAATTTTCTTGTTGAAGATGGTTTACGAAACACTTCAAGCATGGCTGCGTTTGATAGACCAACAAAGATTTTGCAAAGCACTTTTCCACTCAAGGGTAAATCAGCATATAACCCTGAAGCGAGGAATTGCATCTTTTGACAAACCTTTTTGGGACGCAGCAATTCCGGAAAGCAACAGCAAAACGAGGATAGTTCTCATGATTCCTCTCTGAATGCAGAATAAGCGAAATTGTTAGATTTATATAGTAATTTCAGCTTTATTGGGAAACCATAAACTAGAGTGATTTTACAGAGTTTTCATACTTTGTTAATACTTTCTACATGATTTTTTTTGTAAGGTTCATCTTTGAGTCGACGGAACGCTGCACTGTTTCACCTTGCATGTTCGATGCATTAATTTTCTGTTCTAGAAAGCTGTTGTGCATTTGCAGTACCACTGCCACTGAAAGCCTTTCGCCTAGTTTATTAATTTCTTCTGCTAAACTTTTTTTGTCGATTTTAGTCGTGTCGATTTTATTGAGAATCTATAACTTACCTGGACATTAATTTAAAACATTTTTATCGTGCAATTTTCATTTTGCAAGGGCTCACGTACATGACTGTCCATAAGTCTTGTGTTTAGTACAATGAATGTTTTGTAAGTTGCTGCTAATTTTCAGTTTACAACGATATATCTACTCACTTTTTTTTTCACTTTACGCGTATCCTTTTCCATCAACGATTAGTAACTGGAAAATATGACTTAGTATTGGTACGTACATTACTCTAAGTACGTTACTTTATGGCTATCATAATTATTACTAGTATACACCTCGTAGAAAATGGCTATCATAAATTCTGCATTGCTTGAACGGTATTTTTTGGTGACATTTCAAAGGAAGCAGAAATGCACTGTGGCCAGAGTTCCATTGTTTAGCACGGTCGTATGTGGAATATAATAATTTAGAAAAACATTTGATTATTGCAGTGTTGTCATGCTTTTTAGTTTACATTTAGATACTGCAGTAGTTTTCTGCTTATTTTGCAAGTAAAACTTGGACTAAAAAATTGAGAAATATTGCAAATTTCGTCTATTCTTGACGTATTTTTAAAAATTCTCCCACATTTCTAATATTCTTTCCATACTAACATTTAGAAAAAGATCTGCATTTGAACAGGCAGACTCGTAAAACATGTTAATGAAGAGCGAAATCTTTCACTAGTCAGAAAAACCATATAAAAGAATAAAAGTTATAGCGCCCTACTGAATGTTCTGTAATAAAGGGAAAATTCTCGCAAACTTCGTCATCGAGTTGGTGAAAACGACTTTAGAGTCAAAAGTTCAAAACTTTCAAAAATTAAGAAGGAAGATCTACCAGCCGTTAATTTCAGAAAGTGAGATTATAGTACTGCGAAGCTGACCCATTACGAGAAACTGCATCATGTGAAGAATAAAGTAGAATACTATTCACGTCAAATAAATTCTTTCCTATTCAAGTAATTTTTTGTCATACTTGTCACATCTGTAAACAATTCAGTTTTGAAGCCTTCAGCAGGATGAAAGAAAATGAAGAAGAAATGAGACAACTGCGAGCGATCAGTGCAAAATTTTTGTTGATTTCCTTGTTGAGCAGTCTGATGTTCTGAACGTCCTAGTCGCGGTCTTGATATCTTTGAAAGAAATCTTGATAAGCAGTGTAGGCTTCCAAAAGATAACAAAGTGATTTGTTCTCGGAATATTTATGAAAACTGAAATATCAACGGGCTAACAACTGCCTTCCAAAAATTCTGATCATTAACAAGCTTTGCAAAGTTCATTTTTAAAAAAGTTACAAGAAATAAAAGCTTTTAAATAGTATAAAAATTTAAGACCTGCAAACGTACGTAGGAGAGGTCAAAAAGTACTGGAATTGTACTGATAAGTGTCCTAATTTTTAAGGTACTTATCCTGTATCAAATAAGTTTTACATTTTCCCACAGTTATAAGGTAATAGTTATTAGAATTCTCGTAATTAGCGCAACATATTTCATCCTTCTAATCTGAAACAATTTTTTAATCTTAAGCAGATTGAAATTTTTGACTTCAAAGTCAAATGACAATAATTGTTTGCTTTTCTGTCTATTCAAATCAGTAAATCGTTTTCTAGGATATCTTACCTGTAGATGCATAGGGAATGTACGTCTAGACTATTACGACATAAAACCACTACTGGGAATTAATAGAAAAATTTACCTTTTGTTAAAGAGCGTTAATGCACTTTTTATTCATTAATGTTACTAAAAATTGACCAAAATAGAAATTTATATTCTACAACATCGCCTTTATATAAAAACAGTTCTCCAGCAAACTAAATTTTTGTACAATGAATTTGCTGCCCAAAGTTTTTAAGGCAGAATTGTCATTCCTGTAAAAAACTTGTTTTTACCCTCTAAAAATTTTAGAATTTTACAACAAAACTCTACAAATGAGCACTTTCTATTTTGTTACTAAAATGTTTCTCCATACTTCCATTACAAAGGGTAACATCTGAATTCTAATACCGTCTTAAACATTGAGATTTCAAGAACAGGCCATTATTCTTTGTGCACGCCATCAAAAAGCGCAACTCAACTTTATCACTTGAGTCTTGTACGGATATTCTTTGAAAAAACGGCCGATTTCAGCTCAAATGATCATTTTCAGCAAAAACAAATAGCCAAGAAAGCCAAGACAGATCAAACTGTTTGCCCAACATCGATTTGTCCTTTTCTCAAAATATTAATTATTATACACGGTCTACCGTTCTGCAATTCCAGCAGGTGCACTTCTTTACCCACGACAGCGACGTAAGTGAACTTTTGTTTCCCATTACTTGGTTTTCATGAAAATCAGCGATAACTTTTATTCTGAAAGCAGCTGAACTCGATTTTATGCAGATCAGCTTACAGATTCACACGTCCCTGAAAAAACTGATACACGCCATTTTTCGGCCCCAAACCACACACTTTTGACGCAAACTAGGCTGATGCTGCTCTTTAATGCCACTCTCCTTTGGCTTCGTCCGTCTACATTGGAGACGACGATTCCAGAAAAGAAGAGAAATGCCTGTCGAAATGCTCTTCTGCAATAATTCACTGATCAACCATTTGACAACCAGAACAAACTTTTGGTTCTCCTTTACACCACATGCAGGAGGAGATGTGCATGCCGACTGTGCTTACTGATAATACTTTTCATTTACGCTTTGTTTAAGAACGATAGTGAGGATATAAAGAAGGAAAATGAGAAGTGGACAAAGATATTGGTGAAGATAAGAGGAGATCGCTTCAGTCAAAAGGAAGATAAGTACCGAGAGTTTGTAAATGATACTGTGGTTTTACAATCAAGAACAGAAAGAGGGAAGGCGGTAGACAAAGTATCCGTCCAAATACAGGCACAAAAGCCTAGGGGAAGACGTAAGGAGAAGCGCTGCAAGAGCACAGGAAGCAATTTCAGTCAGACCAAAATTACCAGAGATAGAACTACCCAAATTTGGTAGCAGTCCAGTGAAACTGCTGGATTTCTCAGATTACTACCAGACAGCAGTACATGAAGATGGCAGTATTCATACTACTGATAAACTTCATTATTCGATATCGGTTTTAGAAGGCCAAGCTAAGATGGCTGTCGAATGCTTGCTGATGCGTGAAGATATTTATATGAAGCTGCTAAAAATCTCGGAGAAGACGTATGGCGGTGAAAAGTTACGGCATGATGCACTCTACCAGAGGTTAAGAAGTCTGCCCTCATTTAAAGGAGCTAGTTTAAGGATAATCGTTAAGGAAGTAGATCATATCACCCAACAAACTCCTGATTTGGAAGGAACAAAGGATGAGGTAGCAGTGGTGATAATTTTACATTAGGAATTTTCCAGAGAAAATGCTTTTGAATTTTAGAGACTCTAAGTGGAAAGAATGAATATATGGAGTACGGACACGACGGTAAATGAACTGTGTTGCATAGTAGTCAAGAAAAAAAGTAGACTATGATTTTCCCGGCAATTAATAATTCAAAGCAAACTGAAACTGTCTTGACCTCGAGCGGTATTTGTATTTACCAAAAAGCGCAAAAGAGGCCCAAAAATCCTGGCGTTTTTTGGAGGGGCAATCGTTTTAATAGTAATCGTGCGGCTTGTAAGAGACTGGGGCAGAGGAAAAGAGAAGCGTAAAAATTAGGGTCATGTGTCCGGTGTTTAAGAGCAGGACATGAGTTTAAAGACTGTAAAGTTATAAAAATTTGTTATTACTTATGAAGGATCATAACAGCGTTTTCTGTAAACGATTCAGTAGTCAATCAACCTTTTTCAGTCCTCCAACGACACCGTCGCCAATGCTTTCTGGAAAAGAAGCTGGTACATGAGTCATTACAGTAGAAGCTGAGAGCGTCTCAGGTAAAGAGACATCAGAGTTAATACTCCCAATTAATAGAGTGAAGGTTAGATCAGTCAAATGAAACTTTTAATGCTAAAGTTTGTGTTTTACGGGATAGCGGCAAAGATCTTTTGTGACTACCCAAATTGTACGCTTGATGTTCTGTTACCAGATAACAACAGATTGACGCCTCACAAGTTTGCCACACAGAAATCAAAACGATGTTTTTTACTTAAACAGAGATGAATTTGCACTTGTGTGACGGTGTGTGAAGAAAACTGCACCTCAATGTTACTAACAATATGAAAATAACGTTAAGTATGCGCGTGGAAAACAATAATGGGGTCACGTCCACAGGTCAAACAGTAAAACCTGATATTTTAATCGGTGCCGATTACTGTTGGGAACTGACAGATCTAGGCTTGAGGAGAACATGGAATGCTTTCTATGTAGTTCCTACAAAGATGGGTAAAGTAGCCGCCGGTAAGCAAACAAACGCATCAAGTGAAGATATCGATACAAATAAGGTAATTGCCTGTTATACCTTACCAAACAGTATTACACGTTTTTCCGCCTCGGAAGCGAAAGGAATAAAAGAATCGCTTAATATAAATGACGACGATGTGCCTCATGAACAGTTTTACAAAAACTTAGCTTTCAAAAAACAGCGTTTTGTTGTTAGCTGGTCAAATAAGAATATTAATTGTTTTGTAGAATAATTATTTCCTTTGTTATTCTCGCCTGAAGTCGGTACTTAATCGTTTGAGTAAGGGGATTTTTTGCGTAAATATAATAGGATCTTAAACGATCAGTTGTCTAAAAGAATCACTGAAGAAATAAAGGAAAACAAATAATAAAACAGCGTGTCGTATTTGCCACACCATCTGATGATAACACTAAATAAACAAACAACTAAAGTGGGAACCGTTTACGACGCTTCAGTGAAATCAGTTAAAGGTACAGCAAGTTTAAACGAACGTCTATTTTGCAGACTCGCCATGTTATCAGAATTATACGGCATTTTATTACGTTTTGAGACGTACAAATATGGCACAAGAGCGGCCATTGAAAGAGCATTTCTTGCGGGTTGAACTTTACGAGCAAGATCAGGATATGTCGAGGTTTCTTTAGGTGAGAAGCGTACAACTGGGGCTACTCCTGAAGGACC